ATTTATTTCTCTTATGTTCTACGTAATGATACATTACGAATCTTTTTTGTTAATTAATATTTGATTTTTTAAGATGATACTTTTCATTTAGGTAATATAGTTATAATAAAGAATACATCAATATTTAATTGATATTTACAAAAATATTCAATAATTTTTGCTTTATTACTCATATGTACATCGTTAATTTATATACATTGTTATTGTTCTACTTCTTTTTAATAGTGGTTTTCATTAAAGCACGTTAAATAATAAAATAATATCATGATTAATATGTCACACAAAAGATATTAAATGTCATAAATAATTTACAATATTATTTACAAATATTTTTTTTTATGTACATTATATTAAATACAAAGATTTTGATTTTTCTAAACTTTAATTAAATAATTTGTACATTATTTCTCTATTGACATTTAATGTTTTTGCATTAACATATTATTATATATATATATATATATATATATATATATATATATATATTCTATATCCATCGTTACTAATTATAATGTAGTACAAAGAATGTTGTACTTTTTCTTGCTTGCTATTTTTATTTCCTTTTTATATTCTAGAAAAAAGTCAAATATGCATCAAAGATCTAGCAAACCCCATTCGTCATATAAAGGGAGTCTCTTCATTATCAATTTTCGATAACTTTCACTTTTATAACCCGGATTTACAAAAGTACCATCTTTACTCATGATCTCATCGATATTTTTTGCTTCACTTTTACAACACAGTACCATTGGTAAAACTGTGAATGACGCTATCATTCCATAACTAGCTCTTTGCTTTAGAGTAGTCTTTAATTCTTCCATAGTGGGTGGCTGTGTTTTGCAATCCAGTTGCTTCATAGTTGCCGACAAGGTTTTAAGGTATTCATCTAATAAAACTTGTTTGTGATTTTCAATGACATCCGGGGAAGGGCTTGTACTGAGAAAATAGAGCAGATCGAGCGCCGGTGATGTGTAGACGCACAGTTGGAAGTCCACCTGTAATATCAAACGAACTCTCTCAATCGATCATTCTCTTCAGCTCTTGGCAATTGAATTGGAAATGAAATCCATGCGATGGGAAAGAAGTGCGATTTGTGTTTAGGAAGTCGCGACGAGAAAGTCGAGAGTTTACGCGGGTGACACGGGCAGTCAGGTGGCGGATGTACCTGAATGCGATCAAACTGGATTTATTGTATTATTCATAACATACTACATTTTGAAGTATTTTATATCATCACTGTTTACTCATCTCTGGGTCGATAAAATTTATATTGTAGATAATTAAAATACATCAATATGTATATCATAATAGTATCATATCCAGTTGTTTTATTTGTGTCTTGTTAATTTTTATATAAATTTATATAATTTTATTTAATTAAAACTTTTATTGTGATTTTTATAGAAAAAAACTTCAAAAGTATAAATAATAAAAGTTTAGATAGTTGAAACAAAGTGATTATATTTGAATTACGTTTATACGTGTGATTTAAATTTTTCTGAATTAAAAATATATTTTTAAGTAAATAAATTTTTAAAGTAAATACATTATTTCGATGATATAAAATGTATTATTAAATGCAGACATAAATTCTGTTTTGTAAATCATCTTTACATATAATTTTAAATTTTTGTTACGATTGTAATAAATCAATGAACACTCCTGTTTAATATCAGTATATTATTTATAATGTAGTACTTACAAAAATGTGATCAATAGGATTGCCGTCATTATCGTATCTGAACAACATATTGTTCACCCAACAATCACCGTGATTAATAACGTTGAATTCATCTTCAGAGAGTTTGCACGCATCTATTCCTATTTTATATACGTGGTCAGCGAGCTTATCAATCTTGTCTGCGTATCTAACAATAGAAGTAATAACAAACATAAGACGTAAATTATATAAAAAGTTTATAAACAGCATACAAATTTGCTAAATAAATGCGTTTTGCATTTATTTATATATATTTTATTTATATATATTTACAATTTTCTACGTATCAGATTTAGATTTTTCACATTAAACATATCTTAAATTGTAAAAATTATAAAATTGTAAAAAATGTTATATTAAATATCAAAGACTAGAACAATTGAAATTGACCAATTGATTGTTTGTATATTGAACAATTGTTTATATAAATAAATCTTACTTTTTTCCTTCAGGCCAGTTTCTTATCTCAGTTGCCAAAGCTTTTGTACCCATAATAAAGAAATTACTCATTTCTGGTGGGTGTATATCATTGAACATTCCTTTCATATACATCTCTTTTTGCTTTGGCTCCTAAATATCAAAATAATTTTGCTAACAGTTATTGATATTTAATAATTTGAACATAAAATTAAATAATTAAATTTTTAATGCGTTGAAAGTTTAAATTATTATATATTTAGTGAAAGAAAAATCTACTTTTTTATTAAAATTTTCTTAGTAGAATAATTTAATAATATATTTTTTTAAGTAAATTGTATGTAAATTTTTGAAAGACGTTTTCTGGAACTGTTTTCTTGGCTAAACGCCGAAGCACGTGCCATAATAAAGGATAACAAAAAAATATTGAACTTTAGTATTCCCTGCCAGGCATTTCTACTGGATCACTGTAGTTTCGAACTCCCATTCGAATATACAAATTCGATGTAATTTATGATAATCATTCTACCGCATGCATTATTTCAGTGTACATATCAGAGATTATGATTATGGTACACAGTGTTTATCTTGGATGGATCCAATTTCATGACAATTGTTAATTAACATAAGAATTTTTTCTTATCTTAGCGTATAAGTGTTTGTAATCTTATGAATTTTACGAAATTATAATAATAAATTATTAATAATAATTTATTCGATACTGTAATCTAGTTGAATCATATTATTTATTGCAATAAATAGATGAATATCATGTTTTTTTATTTAAAAATATAAATCTGAAAGCATGAAAATATATAATATATAATATAATATAATATAATATAAATCATACAGCATAAATTGTAGTATTGCGTAAAATTGATTATTTCACTATAAATAAAATTTGTTACATGTTTTTTATTAGTTTTGTATCTCGATTTTTATTATGGAAAAAAGAATAAAAAAGAATAAAAAATAATGTTTCTCATATGTTATTAATTAATATTATAAAATATTATATTATTTTTTTATAACAAAAGAGTTAAAAGTTATTTTATTTTAAATAAACTTTTACAACAAAAAATATAAAGGTTATGTTATTTTAAATAAAGTGAAATGAATATGAAATACATAAACGGAGCACATTGTTAATGATAATTAAAATTAATATTATACAATTGCAATATTCCTTAATAATGCTTATTGTAAAACATAAAACCTATGTTTGTCTGTCATTATATATTTACAACTTAATAAGAAAGTTTGATCTGGTATGCAATAGATAATATGTTTATTCAGTATTAAATCAGAACTTATATTTATTTATAATATCAATTAGAAACTATTTCTCTATATCGTAGAATTATATAAAATGTGTTAAGCAAGTGGTCCTAAATCTCTACTGAATTTCATGAAAATTATATTTGAAATTATATTTTATCTACTTGTAGCAATTAAAAATTATACGTTTTGTTTCTTCAAAGTACAATAACGTTTATTACATGAAATTTTCAGGTATATTTTGATTACCGAGTATTGTATATTTAAGTTGTTTCGGAAAATACAAATACAAAAGTAGCTTTTATATCACATTCACTACTAATATATTAACTCGAAAATTTAAAATCTTAAATAATTCTTGAATTTCTTAATTAATCTGAATCCTTAATAATTACAATGGAACATTCGTAATAGATTGAGATATACGTGGTGATTTACCTTTTCACATATGGCTACAGACGTTGCATGAAATCTGCTTAATCCTTGAATCGCTAATATACTATGAGCTAGATCAAGACCAGACAGACGACAAGCCATGCGAAAGCCGAGAGGCGCGAGATCCTCGATCACTAAAAGCGTTGGATTCTTTTGTGCATATAAACATTTCCCACTTAAACGATACTTCGGCTCTAATAACTTATTCATTTTATCTAAAGTATCTGACATCATCATTATTTCAATGTCAAAGATGCCTGATTGTTCGACCTGCAAAAGATTTACTTGAGATTTGTCTAATTTTTTTATTTAATAAATATTATGTAATAATTTTTATGATATAAAAATCTAATAGAAAGTCTCAGCTTCTTGAACAAATAAATAATGTTAACAAAAGAGCATATAAGCCAAACTGGGATTATGTGCCGCAGTATTTCTAATAACATACTGACAAATGTATAAAAATTTTGAATGTTATTGTTAGATTAAAATAATGTTGAAATGAAACGTTTGTATATCAATATGTTATTATAAATATTACTTAAACATGTAGATTTAGTTTGATTTATATGTTTTTGTTTTTTATTACATTTAATTTTTTATCTCTATTAAGTCTTATTGCTTATTAAATAATTGCTTATTAAATAATAATGATTTTATTTTATACATTAAGATTTATTTTAAAATGAGTAAAAAGCATGTCTTTAAAATGTATTTGCCTCTTTAAATTTGGTTTATAAAATACTTTTATATTTTTAATTATTGATTATCCAAAAATAATTATCTTAATTTTTTGTAAAAATTTATTTCAAAATAATGCCATAGATTGACATCTATTTGTAACTATTTGACATCTATTGTGTAAGTTCGGTTAACTTACAAGTTCCTGAAGAATGCCTTCGATCAAAGGCGAAAGTTTGACGATGATTGATTTTTTCTCTGTGATCTTACGATCGCCTTGATCACGGGAAAATTCGGCAGAGACCCTGATCATGTCGCTGGTATAGTTGTCACCTTTGGCCGTGGCCGGTTTCGAGAAGATATCGATCACCTGGATCGAGTTGTCGCCTTCTGACTTTCGCAGGATCTTCTCCACGAAGCATAGATTCAGCCATGTCGGTGTCTCTAGGGCCATTTCTGAAATTGGAATTGGAATTGGAGAATTTCCCCGACAAATCATTGTTCTTCCCGCCGTGTCACGAAACGCGAAAACGATTCTTTACGATAACTTATTGTTCGCGGCGGGATTTATCACGTTTTCTTTCTCCCTTTCTGGCCAACTCCCTCCGCTCATTCCGGTCTTTCCACCCTTTTCCTTCGCCACTCTCCAGCCCGACGTTTTTCGTCCCGCTTTACCGCCGTTTCTTTCTTTGTGTCCGTCGATATTCAAGACGGGCATTCCCCTACGTTTGAGATCGCTGTTTCAATTAAGAGCGTAATGGGAAGCCGCTTTTCCCTTTTCCCTTTTTGGCCGACGGCATATGTACGTATCGCGTTGAGATCCCGTCGAACGTGATCGAGTTGCGGTATTTGCGAGAAATTTACGACGCGTCTGGCGCGCCGCGATCGCGTACGTACTTGTGGTCGAACGACGTCGGCCATATTTCACCTTGATGAGTTTTCTCAGAAATGTTTCCGCGGTTTTCTCAGAAATGTTTTCCGCGGTTTTTCTCAGAATCAAATCCGTCTACCATTAGAGGGACGTTTGATAATTGAACTTATAAGAGAGATTCATTTATTTAACTTTAATCAATTTATAACAAATTATCGATATTATTAATCACATTTGAGCGTTGAGACAAATGTCAAATAAGTGATAAAGCTTTATTTTTAATATATTTCAAGTAAATTTTATTTCAATTAAATCGTGACTCTCTTACAACTCTTAAGTAAGAATTGACTTATATAATAAATCAATAAAAGTAAATAAAAAATTTAGATACTGAGATTGCATTAGATTACACAAAGTTTATATTTGATAAATAGATACGAAAAATAAAAGATAAGAAAAATAAAAGTAAATGAAAATCAGGCATGGAAATAAGTGTGTAAAAGTAAAAATATTTATCAATTTTATTTGAAAAAAACATTTTCGCCCTGTTTCGAGCTATCTTAGCAATAAAATAATTTAATTAATCTTTTTGAATGTCATGAGTGATACAACAGTTCATTACATAATTGACAACAGTTCATTAAGTTGAATAATGAATCACAATTGTTAAAACACAAGTCAATAGATAGTCAATACACAAAGTGTTTGAAATAGTCAAGAAAATGAGATATGTTAAAAGTGTAAAAACATTGTGTAGAGACATCATCATTTCAATAATTAAGGTTCTTGTACTTTTGATATCTCTGATTCTTCTGATTATCTTAAATACTTTATGTATTGTCTTTTGACTCGTATATATTTTACAATTTCCCTTTATACTAATTTCGTTTCTGTTCGACACATACACTCTTCGACCTGTATTGATTTTCGTTATCTGGATGTTCCACTCTCTGCTTCACTTGATAAGTTATTACGATTTTTATATTTTTAATGTATTAAGTATGTATTAAGTAATAATGATTAAGTCGTCACTTTCAGTCTTTCAGGTCTTTCTAGCTACTTTCACCTGACTTACCAACCGGTTGTGATCGACACTCGTTCAATTTAATGAACTGTTGATCGTATGTCACTCGTGATATAAAGTGTGAAATCAAGAGGATTGCATTTTCTTGTTAAAGATGACTTAAAGTAAACATAACATCTATATCTTTTTAAATAAAATTGATATATATTTTTATTTTTCGGCACTTACTTTCGCGCTTAACTCTCATTAGTCTTCTTTTCCTATTATCGTTTTTAAATTGAAGAGTTTTATTAAATTATCGATAAATAAATGTTAATGACATATAATCGTAATATTTCTTAATTATGTTATATGTACATTATATATATAAATCTAACTTGTAAACTGAAATTAATACTTGATGTTATTATGTTACGAAACAAAAACAATGAAATGATTGTCACACGATCAAAGTTAAATTATTTATACGTTTAATGATTGCATAAAGTTCAACGTATGATTACACAAAGTTACTATAAAAAGAATACGAATGTAGATAAACACAATATATTTAGACACAGTTTTTCTGAGGATAAACATAATTTTTTTCATTATCGAAATTAATTTATATTCAAAATTATTACGTATTTTGTATATTGTTGCATTTTGTAATTTAAAATTTTTAATCAATCTTAAATATTAAAACTTTTTTGTGTTTTGATATCATTAGCTTAGATAAGTATTTGTCATATTATGAAATATGTGAAACTTATTGAGTTGTTTTTATATTGTCATTATTTCATGTGTTTTTTCTTAAGAAAAATTTTCAATAATTAACATTAGTTTTCCAGACTAAATACTTTAATTAAAACAACACATGATATTAAAAATCGGTGTCAAATTGATAGATAAAGAGCTTTGTAAGAATTTCGTTAACTTTACTCAATGTACAAACTTTAAATATATAAAATACAATGCAGAAATGAAAATTTTGTTAAATTGACTCTCTTTATGTTAATCTTGAAACAACACAACAATTTTTATTTTACTAAAAATAAATTATTATTACATTATATCTTTTTTAATTTAATAGATAAAAAGAGAAGATGGTTATTTGGATTTAAAAATTTTGTAAATATTTTATTTTTACATCTAAGATATAAAATTATTTAGGTATTGGAAAACAAAAGATATAAAAAGTTTTTTTATATGATTATGAAATCGTTTACAAAACGAGCGAACGATATAAGAACGTACAATTACATATTATATAATAGCGCAATTTAAACTCTTCTTTTCTCTTGAGACTCATACTGATTTTAACGAATAAACTTGAAAGTTTTCTAATGCAGTACTTTTGTAAAAATACTTCTTCTTAGATTATTGCAATTATATTAAATTATACATAGAATGAAAACTTTCCACTTTATTAAAACTTTTAATTCCAGATATTTTATATACATATTATTGCATCATTGGACATGAAGTTGATTCTATATCTTCAAAGCACAATTTGTATCAATTATTACGTTACAATGTTTGTGAAAATTTCTACAAATTTGTTAATAAACAAGTGAACTCCGATGAATAGTGAAGCAGAATATTGATAATAATCGACACACTGACCTGCTTATCTTCGAATTGACTCGTTTCTTTCACTTATATGCACACTCACTGTGTCGTTTCGCGAAGCTAGTCGCAAAGTGATACGAAGATTCAAAGTGACAGGTTTTATATCTACATTACGTGCATTCTTTTATACTCACGAATCAAATTGTGGGTTTACTATGATTATATGATTTCCTTTTGCACTATCGATGACTGCGAACACGAACACGACACTTGATCTGCTTGATCATTATTTATGTCGGATTTCCTGATTCATTCTGAGAGTTTGCCAGCACTAAATTCATGCCGATTTGTTCCCCAATAAAACAATAGATATCACTGTAATCAAGATAACAAAAATGATAAGTCAGTAACGCGCGACGACAGCTCAACTATGTGTAACAATGTGCAACAAGCAGCTGTATGCCATTCGTATTTATACCATCTCGACGCAAGAGAGAGGTTATCAATTTTAATTGAGAGAGAGGTTATCAATTTTAATTGAAAAACCATTAGTAGAAATTATAAATGTGGGTATATTCTGTACAAATTAACAAGTAAAATTAATATATAAGTGAGTTTATAATGAGTGTATATTTTGTAATAAATGTGTAATGTATAATGCACAGAAAAGATTTTAGAAGATGCCACATACAATCCATCAGATTTTTGAAAATACACGATTTCTAAAATTAATTCATGCATTATTCGTCGTCGTCCATAATGCCGCCATCCTAAACTTGAATAATTTTCCTGAATGGCGAGAATATAGTGGAATTATTCACGAAGGTCGTCTATCATAGTCGGTTATCTTGAGATATGAAATTCATATGTGATATTTAAGAGAAAAAAATCTTCACGAAGATTTTAACTTTCCGTCAATATATATATCTCAATCAATATACGTTTTGTTTTCATTGTCGAGATACTTTATCAATGTATTGATAATTGAAATAACAAATGCTTAATGTATTTAATACCTTTTTATACATTTGACATATATATGCTTTTTCTTACAAGATTATATGTGATAATATAATATTTATATATAATCTGTCACACAAAAAAGCATCTTTTAATATAATTATTAGGAAATAAAAATTTGTTATATGGCTTAGAACATTAAATATACAAATATATAAAGAGAGGCAATACTTATTACTATCTTGAATATTTATTACTATCTTCTTCGAAACTTTGAATAACAATAAGAGAAAAATTTATCTAACAGAAATTATATGGTACAGAAACGATCATTTTGTGTAATAATGCTATTTTTAGGAAAAACAGCTTTGACAATCTAAAGTCAACTTCATTTTTTCATGTATTTTTTGTTACATAATGTGATGTTTCTACTTATCGTAAATATAAAAATATTAAGGTACAAAATTAATTTACGAAATATTTTATTCTTTTTTCTGACATATTCTGACAATGATAAAATATCTCGTAAACTACTTATTTTTTGATAACCGTTTCTTAATTTTTATATATATAAAATATGTTCACATAATAAGGAATAATTCATATATTTGAAACATAACATAACATAATAAAAGTAGTAATAAACAGCATGTGATAAAAAGAAAAACTTACTTATCGTTATATCAAATGTATCTTGAATGATTTTGATACTGTTAATTATATATTACGAAAGAAAAGTTTATCCGTTTGGTATAATTATAATTATAGTAATTAATAGATGATTGTCTAATATTTATGTTTTTTTTTGTAATTACTTATATCTAACTATGTTTATTTGACATTTGTAACTTAAAGACAAACATTGATGCATGACAAAGAGATCAATATTAACTAATTATTTGCACGCAAATAATGCATAAGCAAACTGTCTGCGTAATACACATATACACAATCTTGAGACTCTTTATGTAACAGATGATACTTTGTCCTCTAACAATTCGCACGACTTGTTTCTGTTCGGGAAGTTAATAGACACAATCATAAAATTGCAGAGTAAATGTTACAACATCCGTGCAAGTCACTGTTGCATGTGATTAGTTTCTATCTTGTATCATTTTGTCCAAATTACTGGTGCAACCAATGTGGCATCAAAATGATAAGAAAAATCTCATGAAATAATCGTAGACTTTACTTCCGATAATTTTATTGAATAAAAGTACTGTATATGTATGAATCTAGCGACTAGTTTTTATAATTTCTATCTATTTAATAACTTTTTTATATGCTTTTTTATATGTTTTTTTATATTTTTCATAGTAAGTGAATATTTTATTACTTGTATATTATATATTATTATTCATTTATATAATATATTATTATTCATTCGCTCACTATGTTTTATCTTCACAAAATTAAAAAAAATTATATCAAAATTATACAGAAGATATAAATAATTCTTATATTATATTAAAAAAAAAGTTAGTACAATAAAAAAATTTAATATGAGAAAAAGTTTACTACATTTCATCAAATAATCTTTAATAGAAAGTATTGGAAATATATTTTGCTGAATTTGATTATTATATATTAATATTAAGTGACTTTGTGTGATGTTTTAATAATAATTGATTTAATAATTTAT